GCAGACATGTTCACTAAGAACTTACGACATGTCAAGTTCCTGCGCTTCAGAGCGCAACTCGGACTTAGGTTCTACAAGTAATCTAAGTCAGCCCAACGCTTGCGTGCGCGACTATCCACAGCACTTAGCGAGGGGGAGTGTTGAACTGGGCGCTGACTTAGCTGCCAGGTTCTACAACATACCAGAACGTACCAGAACCCTCTGGAACATTCTGGTATATTCCATTATTGTACAGGGCACGGAGCTCATGTGGGTCAGTGACATCATAGGTGGAGCTCAGTAAGATTATAGATATTCCACGTAGCTTAGTCAGCCTATGGGCCACAGTGTATATAAACCCTGCAGCTCTGCTGCCTAATGACAAGGGGTCGTTTATACGAGCTTTACCAGTAGCTACAGCATCCAACCAATACAGGTGAGTTGTGTAGGGCGCACTGTGCGTGCTGCTGCCTCCATAACTCTTCATCAGGAGGTAGGACGTTGGGCAAAGCTGCGTGGGCCGAGCTCGACAGCTCTTACTGAACTACTTCAAATCGAAGGTGTAAGTCCGTTCAATCACCGATGACGGCTAGTTTTAATCCTGCTACCTGTTAATAGGTCCGGGATTCACTGGGATTATCATATAAAGATGCCGACTCCTTAAATAAGATTGTTGATGCCTTACCTGGGCATCCTAAGTTTCGACGAGAGGAGGTCATCGTAGCGGAAGAAGCCTTTGAAGTCTATCATCGTGATGTACTGGAGTGTATACAGGCACTCTACGGTGATCCTGAGTTCGCGGCGGACTTGATCTTTGCGCCAGAGAGGCACTACTCCGATCCAGACATGACGATCCGGATGTATTCGGATATGCACACTGGCAAATGGTGGTGGGCGACGCAGGTAAGCCAGGAAGCACTACTACATGTGACGTCTGTGAGCGGATGATTAACACCACTCTCTAGAAGGCAATTGAGCGGGATCAACCTGGTGCTACAATTGTCCCTGTGATCATCTCGTCTGATAAGACACAAGTGACGTTATTTGGAAACAAGTCCGCATATCCCATCTATATGACCATTGGCAACCTACCAAAGGAAATACGGCGGAAACCATCACAAGGTGGCCACATACTTTTGGGACATCTGCAAAAAATTATTATCCTACCTTAACCTCTGTAGTCTCGGTTGGAGGGGTTGGCTCGTAGCATACCCCCGGATACATTGGTCACAGTAGGCAGACCCAATGTTACATTGGTTTCTGTTGGTCCTGTAGGCATGTGCTCTTCGATATTGGCTCATTGGCTGATAGGCTCATAGGTTACATTGGACAACATAGGGCAACATAGGCATTGACAGTAATCCATCTCATACCCATATTTTCTAGCTTACCATTCCATCAAATTTACCAGACAATGAAATACATTTATTAGATGTCCTAAGACATGAGGAGACACAACTACTGATCATCATGCACAGGCTGATGTCCATCTACGCTACCATCAGGAGCACCATCTTCACGACCACCTCCGTGACGGTCCACAACACCCCCAACGTCCCCACATCTGGCAAGCCAGTCTTGTATCGCGTGATCAATGTCATCTTCTACAAGGCCCGGACCAAGGTCCACCGAGTCGGGGTGAGGTGCACGAGCATTCTCCCTGAGTGAAGAAGATATCAGCTGCTACTAAGACAAAGACTGCATGGAAGTACATACCGTGCATGCTCCAGAAGGTCACTTCGTATCGTGCGTAAGATGCCGTACCTTCTAGTCTTGTCGTGGAAACGCTCCAGTTCTTCCAGGTGCTGATCGTACTTTGCCTTATAGTGCTTCTTGCTGAAAGCGATGTCTTGCCGTTCACCCGTCCGCCATTCGTCTAAGACATTCTGGATCTGCAAGAAGCGAAGACTTAGTACAGCAATGGACATAAAAAGGATTACTTACAGCTGTAAGGACGAGAGCAATCACAGGTACAGGCATGCGTCGGCCAAAGTACTGACCATAATGGATGCCGTCGTCCTTCGGGTCTGCAAACCACGTCACATTGATGAGGCGCTGAATCACGTCATTCTCATAGATGCCTGACCGGGCGGTGGGGTTCCTATCGATAGTCAGGAGCATGCAGCCCAATCCACGGAAAGACTTCACTCACCGAATACGCATAGCCAAGCCGTGTCAGGAGGTCTCGTACCTTGTTGCGTTTTGCCTGCCGTTCGTCGTGGTTGGATGGTGCGGTTAAGCCATAGGCAAGCTCAACGAGCGAGCGCGCCTTTGTCTTCAATTCCCCGCGAATATGTGATGCTCTAGCGGTTATCTGCGAATCAAGGGTTAGGTACGAGGGAATGCAGAAGAGCAACTGCGGATACTAACCATGCCAACAAATTCTTCTTCTATTGGCAGATCAGTGCCGGCATCGCGGCAGGCCCGTGACCATACTTCGACGGCCCATCTGTCGTCTTCGGTGCTTGTAGGATAGGCATATTCAGTGGAGACGCGTGTACGATAATGGCCGACAGCATCAAGGAGCAGAGACCTTACCAGGGACTTGAAGTCCTTGATACGGAAACGGCCACGGCTTCCAGCACCTTTCGTCCGCCTCACCTTTGTCAACCGGGCAGTTTCGGGCGCCATTGTGGCAGAGCAGTCACGACGGCGCACCCTGCGGCAAGGTGTCGGAGATGGCGGAGGGCTCGGGATGGGCTCGACTTGCTCGCGTTCACCAGAGAGGGCTGTGAGCGGTAGCGATCCGGATCGAGCCAGGTCCGCGGAACCTCGTGTAGCAGCGCTGTGCGCGCGAGTGCGTTGTTCATTGCCGTCGCCATCGTCGCGCATGCCATTGCCTTTGTTGTCGTCACGCACGTCTTCACTGCACATGTCATCATTGCCGTAGGGGGGGTCTTCATGCATGTCATCATCCTGGAAATCGTTGTCGCAGTAGGCGCTATCGCCAATCGCGGCATCATGCATTTCGTTCAGTGGTGCATCCTCCGAGATGTTGCTGTGGCGACGGCGACGGGGCGAGTTCGTGTCTTCGTCCAAGAGCGGTCGCACGGGGGGTATGGTTGTCGTGCGTCGCACAAGTGTCTTCGTTACCATCTAGAATAAAAGGATAAGGAGAAATTCAGTCGACGAGAGCAGGACGCACGGTCTCTGAGGCATTCCGAATGTTATTCTCCTTCCCTGCACGCCGCACGAGCCTACTCTTCCCATCCCTAGAGTACTTGATGGATTGGATTGGTGGTAGCCTCATAATCTGAGAGATACCACTGCCTTGCGATTCGCGCTGTTTGGTGCGTGACTCGTCGTCAGAGTCCATGACGATTCTGCGCGCGCGCACACTCCTCTTCTGCGTGCGAGGTGCGGGATCAGCTGAACGGATAGAAAACTAAAATCAAGGGTTAGCATATCCGTGATAACCTAAGTGACAGTACGTACCGTGCCCACTGCATGCGGTTGGGCGAGACCATCCTCGATGCCCTCGTCCTCCGATTCGACAGCTTTGATGTGTTGGGTTCTATCAAACCTGTCAGATCCCGAAATCGAATATCTACTCACGAGTGTGTTCCCTATCACGGAAGTCATTTTCTTCCTGTAGCTTTTGCCGTCTCCGAAGCGCTGCGGTGTTGGCGCGATTGCGTCCTTCCCTGGTTTTCACCTTTTCATTTTCGACTGCTCATAGTGAGACTGCCAGATATTCAACAGGATAAGCTGGCGGGAACTCACCTATGGACTGATATCGGTTGCTCGCCTTGCACTGGCGCCCGCCTTCTTTCCGGCTGTCCAATAGGTGAACAACCTTCTCGACTCTGGGAAGGTTTCTGTTATTCTTCGCTGGCATGATGCTTGCGATAAGGCTATGATAGGCAGCATTCAGATGAGCTCACTTGACATTTGCGAGAGTGTGAAATGGGGGCGTAGACATGTGCTCATCTCTCACTTTTGGGCGACGCGGCGTCGAATCCTCTAGAAAGCAGTCGACGTCACGGAATTGACGCGAGAGCGCATCATGTGATGTCACTCCACATTAGTCACGTTGCATTCGTTCGCACGCGTGTTCGTTGCGGACGTCCGTTGTCATTTCATATCTTCCTTTGCTAATCCTTTGCTAAAGCTGCGCTATGCCGACGTGCGGTTTCTGTGGACGTGCCTTGCCGACTCCCGCGGGCTTGAAGATGCATGTCCAGCGTGTATGTCGGTCTGAGTGGCGGGCGCGCCTCCGCGAGTTTTCCATCTCCGTCTCTGAGGAGTTTGACCTCAACACGGAGTCGGACTCTGACCTGGACCCTATCGGAGAAGACCCTGCGCTAGGTGAGGCAGTCGATCCTCTTGATCCCCGAGACCCAGCCCTGTCTCCCCCGTTTCGACCTGCCCATGATGCTGTCACTGGTGCTCCTCCATCGCCGTCATCAGAGTCGATCGTTGATGATCCGGTTGCGAAGACCTATGAACGATTGGTTGAGGAGTATCCTCGTGCGGCTGGCTCTCCACTACGCCCAGGTCAGACACAGTTTGAGCGTATCCGGGAGGAGCAGGAGGCTGCGGGTGCCTGTCCTTGGGCACCCTTTGCTGATGAAGACGATTGGCGCCTGGGTGAGTGGCTGATTCGGAATGTGGGTAAGGGTGAGACGGAGAAATTCTTGAAGTTGCCTATGGTATGTTTGTTACCCATGGTTGTGCTGTCTACTGACCACTGCCTCCAGATTTCAAAACGTGCATGTCCCTCTTATGCGACCAGCCGGTCCTTTCTGCAGAAGGTGGACGGGATTCCTACAAGGGGGGCAAAATGGCATCGGGACATTGTAACGGTTGGTGGTGATCGCTTCAACGAAGATGGGAAGATCATGACGGAGAATCTGGAGCTGTGGCGCCGGGATCCTGTCGAGTGTGTTCAGGAGCTGATTGGCAACCCTGCCTTTCGAGACAAGCTCGCATATGTGCCTGAGCATGTCTACCGTGATGAGGCCTCTAGTGTCCGAGTGTATGATGAGATGTGGACAGCAGACTGGTGGTGGGACATTCAGGTATATGGAACTCATTATTGTCCTGTAGTATGTAGAGGTGATTAAATTGTGATTTAGGATCGTCTACCAAAGGGTGCTACTGTTGCTCCTGTGGTGATCTCATCGGACAAGACGAAGCTGTCTAATTTCCGTGGAGACAAGTCAGCATGGCCGGTTTATCTTACCATTGGCAATATTGAGAAGCAGACCCGACGCCAGCCAAGCTTGCGGGCCATGGTGCTCATTGGTTATCTTCCTGTGAGCAAGCTCGACTGTTTCACTGACCGAGCCCGATCTGTGGCTGGTTATCGTTTGTTCCATTATTGTATGAAGGAACTGCTCTCGCCACTTGTTGCTGCAGGCCGCAAAGGCGTGGAGATGACTTGTGCTGATGGGTGGGTTCGCCGTGTCTACCCAATCCTTTCTGCCTATGTCGCGGACCATCCAGAGCACTGCTTGGTGGCTTGTTGCAAGGAGAACCGCTGTCCACAGTGCCGAGTTGCCTATGAAGACTCAGGAAGCCTCCTGGATACTCTTTATCGGGACCCAGAGCGCACAAAGAACATTCTGGAGCAGCATGCCACTGGAAGACGGGTTCAAGCTTTCAAGACTGAGGGCCTACGTTCTGTAGCAGAGCCATTCTGGGTGGACTTGCCTCATACTGACATCTTCACTGCCTTGACACCTGATCTATTGCACCAATTGCACAAGGGGATATTCAAGGATCACCTTGTGGAGTGGTGCATGCATATCTCAGATGAAGATGAGATTGATGAACGATTTCGCTGCATGACTGACTACCCAGGATTACGTCATTTCAAGAATGGCATCTCTCTGATTTCTCAATGGACAGGCACTGAATTCAAGGAGATGGAGAAGGTCTTTGTTGGCCTCTTAGCTGGTGCTGTCCATCCAACTGCTGCTATAGCTGCTCGGGCTGCTCTCGACTTCATCTATTATGCTCAATTTCACACTCACACCTCCGACACTCTTGATGCATTGCAGGCAGCACTCCAAGAATTTCATGCACACAAAGACATCTTTGTGAGGCTGGGTGCTCGGGATCATTTCAATATCCCCAAGTTACATGCCTTACAGCATTATATTGACTCGATCAGGTCCCGTGGAGCAGCCGATGGCTTCAATACTGAACTCCCTGAACGACTTCATATTGAGCATACCGTGCAAGCAACAAACGCGACTATGTGGAACAAATGGCAAAGTGGCTGGAAAGGCAGGAATCAGTTCAGCTCTTCAATTCCTACCTAGCCTGGCTCAATGTCTCATCTGATACTGGCCCTGATGGAGATGAGGAAGAGGAGGAGGAGGAGGAGGAGGAGGAGGAGGAGGAGGAGGAGGAGGAGGAGGAGGAGGAGGAGGAGGAGGAGGAGGATGAGGAGGATGAGCATGAGCATGAGCGTGAATGTGAAGTTGATGATGAAGGCTACAATAATGCTGCTCCTGCTACTTATGCTGGCAAGCAACCCACGATGCTCTCAGACAGGTGTCTTCTCTCTCATAGGCCAGCATTCCCAGCTATGAAGATCCAAGATATCATTACAAAGCACAAGGCGACAGAGTTCATTCCTGCTCTCTCTACCTACCTCCAGGAAACTAGCTCTTCTACTATGGCCCACAAGGTGATGCTGCCTAATGAATATGACCGTGTGGATGTATACAAACAGGTCAAGATCCGTCTACCTCAGCTCCCCATTCTTGAGGCCAAGCAACGCTTGGATAGAGTCCGAGCAATCCCCGCTCATACACCCCATTCTGGAAGAGATCCTGGGCCTGATCATTTTGACACTGTTCTTGTGAAGGTGGAGGATAGGAATGATTATATTTCTGGTACTGGATTGGCAGGTATGTCAGCATTTCTATAATTTTTTGAATTAATTCCTCAAATTTTAGAAGGTCTCCGGGTTGCCCAAGTGCATGTGATATTCACACTCCCAGCATATCTGCAGAGTCATCCACAGCAGTCACGGTACCTCGCTTATATTGAATGGTTCACACCTTTCCGCACTGAAGATCAAGACCTCCACCTTTACACCATATCCCGCAGCATGAGGAATCAACGCCCAAATGCTCAGATCATCCCCTTGGATGATATCTTTCGTGGTTGTCACCTAATACCTAAGTTTGGTTCTTCAGTCAACCCACACTGGTCATCAAGTAATGTGTTGGAGAAGTGCAAGTCATTCTATCTCAATAGCTGGATTGATTTTGTCATGTTCTACCAGATGCGCTGTCTCAATCTAGTTTGCTAATCATCATGTGCTATTTTCAGCAAGAAAGTAGACCTTGAAACATTTGTCATATATATAATCATGGAGCTAGTGCCCTTCTATAGTTACCTATATTATCCCTGTGCATGTCTATGGTGCCTACAGATACCAACAGGTCAGGGTCATGCCTACCATGCCAATGTTGGATGATGTATATAGCCTGGTATTTATGTCAATTTCACTTTTTGCTGATGGGATACCTGCCAACCACCAGGCTTGATCATATCACCAATAAGGCCGCCCGACGACGGACCCTCGCCAACCTCTTTCACTCATGTGTACAACGTATTCTCCATCCTCTAAAGAAGGCTGGCGAAGTAGGCATAGTGATGGCGAGCGGCGATGGGGTTCGCCGACGGGTGCATCCTTTGTTCGCGACGTTCGTCGGTGACTACCCAGAGCAACTCTTGGTGACGGGCGTCAAGACGGGGCAGTGTCCGAGATGTCCAGTCCCGCATGACCAGTTAGGAGAATGCAACTCCGAAGACCCGTATGAGTTTCGGGATATGGATGCTGTACTGGACGCTCTCGCAAGCATCGCCGACGGGCCAACAGCATTTATCAAAGCTTGTGCGCACGCAGGGATCAAGCCGATCCAGCACCCGTTTTGGGAAGGGCTCCCTTATGTGAATATATTCCAGTCAATCACGCCGGACATCTTACACCAGCTCTATCAAGGCGTGATGAAGCATTTCATATCATGGGTTACAAAAGCTTGCGGGGCAGCAGAGGTCGACGCTCGCTGTCGCCGATTTCCACCTAATCATCACATACGGCTGTTCATGAAGGGTATCAGTACCCTGTCGAAGGTCACTGGTCGGGAACACGCCCAAATGTGTCAACTTCTCCTTGGCTTTGTAACTGATATACGGCTTCCAAATCATCTTTCGTCAGCCCGCCTGGTGCGAGCCACACGTGCCATACTTGATTTCTGTTTTCTCGCACAATATCCAGTGCACACGGATGATACTCTCCGACTTCTCGAAGACGCATTGCACCGTTTCCACGACAATAAACAGATCTTTGTTGACTTAGGGATCCGGTTCGACTTCAATATACCGAAACTGCATGCCCTCCTCCATTATCTCATCTCCATCAAGATATTCGGCACTACTGACAACTACAATACAGAATATACGGAGCGCCTGCACATAGATTTTGCGAAGG